CCTCTGTGATTTCTATGTATATATATATATATGTATACATATTTGCTAGCATCATTGGTTGCTCCCCTGCAAGTTCACGTGGAAACTCGGAAATTGCAATTCCGCTAAACATGCATCGTTTTTTTTTTTTGGGGGGGGGGTCATTATAATCTGCTGGAAATTTGTTGGTGGAACATGATGGCTGTTGTTTCGGAAGAGGAATTGGTTAAATAGGTACTCGTCTATTCTCAATCCTCTTGGTTTGCTGCGGTGCTTGTAAGTCTATGGTCACCCTACTTTGCTCAGGCCTGCTCCAAGCCTCTGAACTATGATCGAATTGCACTAGCCCAGTGTTTCCAGGCAAGCCATCGTCTGCGCTCTTGGCACTTGCGCTCCAGGCAGTGTCCCTGCATCACAGCTGGCAGCGGTGGAGTCATTGGAGGCAGCGGGCGGGGGTTCGTGTTGAAGCACGTCTAACCACCACTTGTTGCCTCAAGCCTTGGCCAGTTGACACTTTAGCCTTGAACTCGTTGCGAACATGTGTATGTTCCCCACCAACACCCAGAAGGTGCAAGTACCTTACTTAGGCCACCCCACCAAAGAAAGCATCCTCAGGAGGTAATTCCTTGGACTGTTTGCTTCCATTTGCTTGAGAATAGTTTGTATTTTCCCCTTCAGGTGTTAAGGCAATCTATCACTGGACATATTATGTTTATTTGTTCCAGGGGGCGAAAAGGCAAATGGAGGTTTGGGACACGGCAAACCGTTTTCCACTGGCCCTTCTTGAAGGCGTCAGGCCGCGCCTTTGCCGCGTTGACCCTGGATGGCGCCGTCGTGACCTGGGGCGACCCCGCCTACGGCGGAGCCTATACGGCGCCGTAGCGAGGGGCGTTTTAATGAAGACTAGCTCCTCGGGATGGCTTGAACAAAATGTTTTGTCGCCACCAATTTCGGAAGTTCCTATGGTTTGAACAAGGTTTTTGTTTGCCACCAATCTCAGAGTAAGGGAAGTTCTACAGATTTGTTTTTTGTCTTTTCTCCTTGTTGTTGGTTCAATCCATGGCTTAAGGAGCCGCACGCTGCGTTAGGCCCAGGACAAAGATCACCTTGAGGCCTATCGCAAGCGGGTTGAACACCGTGCATGTCTTATGAGTCTGTGCCAAAACCGGAGACGCCATCCTTTGGAAGTTTGTTTTGTGCCTGACCCAGTGGAGGTGTTGCTGGGGCGCCTGGTTTTGCCACAGCGGCCTTTTGAAAGAGCCTTTAGAGTTTCCATGCCGAACACGGCCAAAGGCTGGCCGATTCGATCAGGCGAATGCGAGTCATTTCGAGTCAATCGAGTCGGCTTCCTAAATGTGTCCAGCTTGTCGGGGGAAGCACAAGGGCACGCTCGAGCCATTGCAGAATCGGCTTACCTGTTTAACGTTTTGCCTTTCGGATGTTCAACTAGCAAGATCCGTTTTTGCAGATCCCTTTGGCCCGGAAGCCCAAGAAGTGGTGCTGATTTCTCAGGATTGGGAGACAGAAGGCAACGGTCCTTCCCAAAGGGATCTAGCAGGTCCTTCCCAACTATTGCAGGATTCAATTCCACTAATCTTTTGGGTCTGGAACATCGCAGCGGCTCCCATGTTAGACAGCCGGCGTAGGACCTTTGTGGTTTGTTTCAAGCTCACAGGCATTCTTTGTGTTTGGCACTCTGCGGTTGGTATGGACACCCGGAATGATTCATGTTGATCTGCAAAAATAGTGGTGGAGTACAAGTTCCTTTGATAGCAGATGGCGGCGTTTGAACCCGCAATTTCTCTTTTTTGACTTTTCCGCGGTTTGTCCGTTTGCACTTGAGCCAGTTTTATCCCAGACCTCCAGAGCGAAGTTTCCTAACTACCAAACAGGGCGCCCTCTTCCTCCCATGCAAAGATTCTGCTGGGGGGCCCGGGGGGGGGCATATAGGCACTGATTTTCGGCCACAGCTGGTTTCTGAAACGTTTCAGGCCCTTATTGCAACCTGCACTGTCCATGCGGAAGGGATGAGTCTAGTTAAGCTTGACGGGTTTCGCGTGCGATTTGAAGCCAAGAGGAAGCCAAAAGGGAATGGGCATATGGGTTTGTCTCAAATAGGACACCTCCAAATTGGCTGACATCCTTTGGTTTCCCCAACCAACCCAGAAAGGGTACCCCCAAAAAAGACGCACCCAATATTAAGGTATTTGTCCCGCTTCACCCAGATTGTTGCGCATGGCTCGGCAGATCAAGATGGACTCGCAGCAAATTAGCTCTCTGGATGCATGAGGGCCTGCATCCGGCATGTCCATATGACCGACTCGGTGCCTTCGGGCCTTGCTGGCTGTGTGACAAAAATCCGGACCCAGATCCAAAAACAATGTTGACCCCATATTAATCAACCCCAGTCTATTAATAGGGGGTCGAAAGGCTTCCTTGGAGAAGACTCATTTTGACGCACAGCCAGGATCTCCGTGGGAAATCAGAATATATCCCAGTTGCTATAGTACAGGGCTGTGGTAAATGACCACTTCTGTGATACAACAATAAGGGCTTCCCAAACACTAACCCCCCACATAACGGGGGAGATTCCCAAAAGTATCACAGAAGTGGTTGGATAAACCCCGAGTGATCAACCACAACCCTGCCATAGGCAACCAGAAAAAATCCATGCAAAGCCAAGAGGTAAGGATACCTTACCAGTGGCTTGCCTGGCAGCACGTAGGGATAGATTCATTTAACGATGTCCACAAGTTGATGCCCCTTGAAGATGTCCACAAATTGATGGCATAGATCTTGTGGATGGCAGATGGCAGAGAGTGTGGCGGAAAGAATCCTGCGGCGGAGAGTCTGAGTTACTGCCGATCCTTTATTCCATCGTGTGGCGGATGGCAGAGAGACTAAATTTGAGATATGGGTGGTTCTTTTGCTGTAAGAATCGGACAACCAACATAGCGCAACGGGTTTCTTTTGGTTTCGCCCCAATTTGAACCCCTTCGCAACACATGGGTGTGATTCCTTCCTTACCCTTTTTGCTCCCCTTCCAACGTCAACCAAGTGGAATTATAGACAGATAGCCTTTGGCTGGCGCACAGCCACCAAGTAGTGCATTGGTGCATATAGTATCTCACAGTACGTCCCAGGGATACGCGTACGGCAGGGTACACCCCGCCCTTCAATTCTGCCGCCCGCGAAAGGTACCAAGTGCTTTCAGTCACCATTCGGGGTTTCTGAGGGGAAGCATCATGCCCTTCGCCAATCAACATGACACCTAAACCCAAAATTTGAAAGCAAATTCCTCAAACATCCCCACCCCCTTACCGGATTTGGGGGAGGTGGATTGACCCCTGGAATTTCATCGATGGCTCCATTTCGCTTGTTTGGGAATGCTAGTAGAATGGAATTGGGGGGGGCCCCCCACACCTCGCCCTGAAGGTAGGGGATCCTGACACAACGATGTTTTGGATTCCATGTTAATTTGCTGGAGTACTTCTAGGGGTTGATTCCTTGTCCATTCTTTTCAACCATCGTTCTTTCCAAAAACCGGATCCGTTTTCCTGGGTTTCCGGAGGTTTTCTAGAAAGATTCGGATCCCTGGGTTCAGAATGGACATGGCGTGGGTACCCCTAGAGCAATACTCCCAATTCCGCTCCCTCGGGGAACCCCTGGACGACGCTTACGGAAATCCAGCCTTACGTGGCTTGCATGGATTCTAGGCGGGCGGGGGTACTCTTTGCTCAGTGAAACGTCACTCTTGGCATGTGCTCTAATGATTTGGCTATGGGATTTTAATAGGGAACAACCTCAAAACCGGTTGGTGGACATGGACTTCGACCGAAATGCTGATGTCCACCAAAGGGTTCCGAAACAATAGTCATAGTCATGTCTTTGTTTTTTTCAGGCTTGGGAAGGAAAGCCATGAGTTGTTTTTATCCGTCCGCCATGCTTCTGGCATCCAACTTCTCGTGCGAGTGGCAGTCGCGCGGTTTCAAAAGGGAGCGCGACCTGGAATCGCTCCATTTCCTCTTCTAGGTTTCCCAGCAATCGGTGCCCGACCTCTCACCCCTTTTTTTGGTGGGGAGGGGTCCCCTACTAAAATAGACTACAGAAAACAAAACAAAGGTACCAACTTATTCTAGCCTCTCTACTGGAGGACCTAGTCTTTTGGGACCTCCAACAGTAGCGATCGTTTCACTGGCAACCACCAGTAAACTGCAACCTTCAATGGGGAAATGCAGTGACCCCTGTACAACTGGCCGAGCGCATCCATACCTTTCCTGGGTCCAAAACGTTGAAGCTTTGCGTTTTTCAGACCCCTCGTTGTTTGCACAACAGTCGCCGGGAAGTCCTGGCTGTATTTCGGCTCATTTCCCTGGACCTACGGCCACTGCAATGCTGCAAGTGCTGAGCGTGCCATTTCCCACCTGCCCCCACCTTGGCGATCACCTTTGATTTCCCTGCTTTCTTGCGGGGCGTTCTTGAGTTTGGGGTATTTTGCCAGACCTGTTCAACACCCGGAATATAACCCAGTTGCCCAGTGGTACCCTTTTTTCAACTTTTTTTGGGAAGGGTTCCGATTCCTTTGAAGTCAACCAACCAAGAAACATCGGGTGCCGGTCCTTTTCCATGGAAATCCACTGGGCATCTGAGAGAAGGCACCCCCGGAATACCCAAACCTCCAGACCTGCAAAACCACCCTACCTCCAGACCTGTTCAACACCCTCCTGTTCAACCTCCGGAATATAAGCTTGCCTCTTGAAAACACGACTTTTCTCAACTTTTTGGGTAACATGGGCTATATGTCTGTAAAAGATGAAAACTTCCCCAATCCTTGGAGTTTTAAGGGGTAAGTGCTCAACACCCTCCTGTTCAACATCCGGAATATAACCCAGTTGCCCAGTGGTACCCCTTTTTTAGGAAGGGTTCCGATTTTGGGAAGGGTTCCTTTTTTCCCTACGGCACCTCGGCGATTTTGTCTTTTCGACCCGCCCGCGAGCCGCGAGCCGGGCCAGCCGGCTGAGGTGGAGGGCACGGGGCTCATGGCGGCACAGGATCGGGAAAGGGAAAGGGAGAGATGTGGATGTTTTTTGGCGCGAGCGCCGTGCACGCCCACCTCCTTAGAGGCAGTGGTGTGTGAGTGTGTGTTTTTGATTTAGGGCCTTCAAAACAACCTGGTTTTGAGACCCCAACCACCTCCGGGGTGTCTAATGGAGGGGTCGGGTCTTCCATTGAAAGCTCCAGGAGCCTCTGGGCTATATATATATATATACACATTTATGAGCGTGTCTTTCTTTTGGGGAAACCCCCAAAATGGCTTCGGTGTTCGTTTTGGTTTCCATTGAAAGCACCGCTTTGAACATAGAAACCTCGGATGAGAGGCCAGCTCCATGGTCTTGCTTGGATCTGCTGCAGCAGTTCGAAGCACATAGATGCCCTTTGGATTTTCGTTACAGAATGAGAGGAGTTGACCCGCCTGGACGTCCAAATCGGCCCAGAAAACAGCGGTTTGGGGTTTCAGGTCTATAAACCATTTTTTTACGCAACAGAATGGCTGTTCTAACCCAACCCCCCAAAATTCACGGGGGGGGGTGCAGATGGTGGTGAATGTGGTGAAGGCTGTTCGGCTTTCAGCTCCAAGACAGTACTGCACGGGCAAGTATGTGCATTCAAAAGTATGGAAAGGGGAAGGCTCCGTGCCCTTTGCTTCATTGGATGATACAAGAGGTAATGAGTTATACACCTTACACTCCATACACACCCTTTTCCCCCGCAATCAAGACTAGGTTTGGATATTAAATACCCAACCCCTCCCTACTTCATTTTCCCCTGTTTTGCACCCTCTTTTTCTTGTGAACATCTGAAGACATGGGCAGGACAAGATGCTTCTGGTGCCTTTCTCCAACGGCTCCTCTTGCGGTGAGGCTGGGTTTGGTGAGCGCGCACCGCGCACGTCGTCGGCGAAGCCAGGACTCGCCAGGCCCTTTCCATGGCATTGGAGAGCGCCCCTTTGAAACATCAGGGTTCCCCTTAATGGAAACCACAAGGGATGGTGTATCAGGGTCATTCCCTCAGTTCCTGCTGAGCACCTGCAAGATTAATTAGGCGATGTTCCTTATGTTTTTTTGTCCGCAGACACCTCCGGCCTCCACCGGAAAAGGGCAACTTGGTCGAAAGATTTACTGAGGCCCCTTTTTTCCCCGCCAAAAGCCATCCCCAGAAGGTCCAAGGGACTGTCTGGGATGAATATGTGACATGTATCTGCCAGTTGCTGACATGAGCATAATTTATTGTCCGGTTTTGGTTTTAAAGGGAATCTGCCATTTCTGGAAATATCCTCCCTCCAACTAAGATGCCACCTGCCAAGATAAAACCGATTTTCCAGGTACCCTCCCAGAGGTGCCATGCTAGTGGGAGGAAGGGAATACTTCCAGCCACTTGAAGGGTATCTGCAGCTGGCTTCCTCTTGGTGGTTTGGGTGAAGCCATCTACTTCTTCCATTTGCTGAAATGAATATTTGTTATTTTCCCCTGTTGGTTTTAAAGGGAATCGATTTCACTACCGGATTTTTTTTTCCAGGGGACAACAACGCAAATGGAGGGCTCGGAGTGACATCTATCGGCCCGGCCTTGGCGAATCGGCTGCTCCTGTTTGCAGCGCCAGGTCGCAGCCTCTAGGAGCTTCGGTGTCAGCCGGCGCCTCAAAGCGAGCGAGCGAGCACTGAAAGCGACGGAGCCGCCGGCTTTTGCCCGTGGCTCGTGTTGGAAGGTTGGCCCGGGTCCGGGACTTGGGGTGTACCCTTCTTGGGGTTGGGTCAAAGGCATGCCAAAAGTGGTTCTTACTTCCTGAGTTGGACCTTAGTCAGTTTTCTCCACCCATTTGGGGGGGTCCCTTGTTTTAACACATACCCATGTCATCTATTTTGTGACCAAATAAGTATCAGAAAATACTCCCCAACCCTCCAAGGATCCTGCAAGCTGACAAGAGGGTTTCGGAAGACCAAATCTTTCCTTTTGGGGAACCTCCATGTCCACTTTCATGATTGTTGAAGAAGAGGGGACTTCTATTTGGGTGCCTCTTTTGCTAGAGCATTCCTAAACAAAAAGAGTGGCGTCCCTTGAAATGTCCTTTAAACCAAGCCTAAAAAGGGGACCCCCCAAAAGACTTACCCATTTAAGAGATTTCTACAGTTACCCTGGGGTGATGTTTTGAAGGGAAGTACAAAGGGAGCCCTGTATATTTTCCCGATAGCCTTTTGAAAGGTTTGTATTTGATGGTTTCTCCCAGCTACAAAGGCGAAGCGGTCGAAAAACTGCGTGACTCATGGCTGTTGTTGGGGTGCAATTTTAATCTTCTTAAACAATCTTTGCAAACAGTGGCCCACTTTTTGTGCAGCGGGGCAATCGCCAGATTCAGTGGACACCCGTTTTGGCTTTCTTCTTCGATGTGATAAAGTCATGGGAATGGCCCACGTCGGCATCGAAAGGGTCCAACCATGGTCCAGTTGCCCAGAAGCTGCCGCCCTGTTTCCTCAGCCCCTGAGGGTCAAACCATGTTCATTTCGTTCAACTCAAGAACCGGTATTGGCGGGGTGGGGGGACACTTTTCGCTTGTTCAATGGGTTTTACGGTTCCTTCTGCAAACACCGTGGGCTTTACCTTTTTGGACAGGCACCTATCGACTTGTGTTCAAGGCGTTCAGGAGCGCAGGAATATGGTGGAGCCACCAGGAAAGCCAAGCTCGGGATAAATTTTCGCCGATCGGTCGCCTATAGTGGCGAAACGCCGAAAGGAAGCACTGGGTGGGGTTTGCACATGGTTTGTTTTCCGGAAGTCGGACTCAAGTCGACCTAACCTCAGGTTGGCTTTGAGGCGGATGCCAATACCATGGGAACTGCAACTTGTTCTTCCTAATTTCAACCATGGGTTTTGGGTGGGTGGCTCCATTTCGCTTTGGTTTTGTTTTGGTGGCTCCATCTCTGTTTCGTGTATGTGTTTCACCTTTCTTGGTGTGTATGGTCGGTTTACTGGCAGGTCACGCATCCACGGCCCAGTCACTGGCGATTTTTCAGGTCCCAACCCCGTCGCCTTGGGCTTCGACAACGTCACGGCGCAGGGCCGAGTCTCAACTCGCGCGTCGAGTCGTGGCGCGCCGCGAGTCGAGTCGTTGACGCCTTCCAACTCGACCGGTGGCCACCGCTTGGGCGGTTTTACGCATCACCTTGGTTGCCAACTTCAAGTCGTTGCTTTCTTTTGGTTTTGCTTGAAGGGGAAATATAATAGGGGGGCATTCATGTTTTTAGGGAATGTCATGTTGGTGGTAAACAACACATCTCGAACTGTTTTCCACAGGAGGCCCATGCAAGTTAGGCTTTTGACAAGTGGGTTACTTGGAACCTGGCTTGCTCACCAATGACTAAGTGGGCCGAATATGGAAGTAGGTTCTGGCAACTCCGTCGGCCAGTGCTTATGTTGGTGTTTCTTCTCCGGCGAACCACGTCCGGTCACCCTTAGTTGGAAGTGTAGATTGGTGGTTTGGGGATTTGAATCCCTTGTCCTTGAGGCTGATTGGGAAAGCCACCCACGGAAAACCGTCAAATCATCAAACCAAATCACCGGTGAATGGGAACTCAGCATGAGTGGTAGGTGGCCTTAAGTGCTGGAGGCTGATGTACCGGTTCTCAGACTCAGCTTGGCCTTTTGGAATGCCCGGCGAAAGATGGCTTCAAGTGGCACAGCCAAAAAAAAGGCCATGATATGTTTGGCAACCCCCCAGAATCCAAGCATTTGCCTATCACACCCTGGGAGTACACCCTAGGGAAGTTACACAACACAGTCGCAAATAGAAACAATAAATAGCACGGTTTTATCAGAATAGGGTGAGTCCCCAGAGGGCGTAGTCCCCTTGGACACAAGGGCCTAAATTATTTTGTGCTGGGGGGTATTTCAATCCCCATGAAGTCGGGCTCGGAATCGTAACAAATGTTGACATAGGCACACCCATACCGCGGATGGACGGAATCCGTTCGCACTACGAAATCAAACCAGAAGCCGTTGGGTTTCTGGACGGTGCGAGCGGATTTCGTCTATCCACATTGCTCTCCCATGGATCGAGGTAGAGCCCTGGGGTGCCGTTGACGCGGCTTCCCAAGCCGTTTGGCAGTTGACAAGGCTGGGGCTTCAGGGAGAGGCGAGCGCCCGAAACCCGCCAAATATATTCTCGGCTGGGTTGGAGCTGAAAACCCTTGAAACAGCTGCTAGGTCCTTTTACCCTTTTTCTGGGAGAGGGCTCCTCTACTAAAATAGACTACAGACAAAAGGGTACCCTTATTCTAGCCTCTCTACTGGAGGACCTAGGCTGGGTGTAGTTCCGTTTCGTTTTTTGATGGGTAGCATGGTGAGGATTCCTTTCATAGGTCTGGGCTGCTCACAAGGCATGCTGGAAAGTTCTTGGATTGAAACAACTCTGGTTTTTACCACCCAAGATTTAAACGTGTTGCACGTGGTGCACAGTATAGATGTGACCATGGGTCAATAGCCCGTACCCCCAGTGAGCATCCCATCCCCACAAAATAGACTAAAGTGGGTGGTGCACCTACCCCAAAATGGTACCATTGGTTTTGACCCACAGCCAAGTGTTGCCTGAACGCGGAAAACCCGGACATCAGCTCGCAGCCACAGCCTCAGATATATGTCAATATGGGTGTGGTTGTTTTTAGGGGACCCCCAAATTGGCGGTTTTCCTTTTGGTTTGCATTCAATCCACACCCAAGAAGGGTACCATTACAAAACGACACACCCATATGATATCGCCCGGAAAAAGTTGAGTTGGCAAACCCTACTTTACTTGCAGAGTTTCTGCACTGTGCGCGTGGGTATTTTTTTGGGTGGGGAAGACGGACCATGGTGACAAACAACAAGCCTGGACTGTTTCCGAGCAATCCATGCTGGAAGTGAGTTTATGTTAGCAGGTTTTCAGGGGTCATTATACTCAGTTGTTCAGTGGCTCCCTTTTTCCTTTTTTTTGGTGGCTGCCCCACTAAAATGGTCTTCCCAAACAAGGGTTCCCTTTTTTTTCCTGGGTCACTGAACAACTGAGTATATATGTTTAGGCCAGCTTCTGTATGAGCCTTTGTTTTGTCAGGGCTTGGACAGCCCCCGTCTTGTTAACCCCTAACCCTTGACTTGAGGGATGGTCTGTAGGGTCCCTCCTCGAGGAGGCCGGCCGCTTAAACATGCAACAAGAGCTTTGTACAGCAACCCAAAGTCAATAAAAAAATAAAAAATAACAATAATAATAATAATAATAAAAAAAAAAAAAAAAAAAAAAAAAACGCTGGACGGTGACACCTGAAAACCGCATTTTTAGGGGTTAGCAACCCACTTTACCCCCCACAAAGATCCCTCCAAGTCTTCAGGCCGTGGCCTGATTGAGGCTTGTTCTAAGGGCGCCTGCCATGTCCATTCTGAACCCAGGGATCCGAATCTTTCTAGAAACCCTCCGGAAACCCAAGCAAAACAGATCCGGTTTTCGAAAAGGACCATGGTTGAAAAGAACAGGAATCAACCCCATTGCTACATTTCCCATTCCAGAAGCATGGTTGGTGATTTGATCCAACGACCTGAAGTCTACTGTCTTATGGTCTGAAGGAATCTCAGCCCCCTGCGGCGTCTAGCGTCACTTTGGCGCTTTGAGTCCTTCGAGTCCTTCGGGTCTCGTTGCAGGTTGGAGACTCCTGGGGAGTACCAGGTCTGCTACTGCCCCGACTCCCCGGCGCCTTGGCAAGCGTCGGTCGATGTTTTTTGTTTTTCTTCGGTTTTTTCTCCACGGAGCTGGTGCGAGGGTAGATCATAGGTGTCCTTTTTTTTAAAAAAAATGGGTTTCGATTCCTGGTTTAGCTGGTGGTTTCATCTACCAGGGAAGCCCATCTAGTTGCGCTAGAAGGACACCTATGCTGCAGATTAATAGGACCCCATTCCTAGAGTCATTTTCGGAAATGGCCGTGGGTCAAAAACATAGTTGGTAACCCCAAAAAGGCGCCCTGGTAAATGGAAACAATGACTCAGACCCGTTTTTTTTTTTTGGTGGTGGTGTGGTTGTTTGACCCATACCCAAATGGCCCCTTCTTGTGTTTTCTGCGCAGATGGCCTTGGAGTCATCTTAGCTATCCACTTGGCAGCCCGAACAGGCCTAATGGGCCACTACGTGTTGGACAATGAGCCCGGCATCCACGCTAGGTGAGCAAATCTTAAATTTATGTACTAGTCTACTCAACTTCCATTTGCTTAAGAATACGTGTTGTGCTCGGTCTTACAGGGAATTTATCTATCCCTACTGGACACATTGTTGTTTTTTTCAAGGGATTTATCCAAATGGGGGTCAAAGGGAAGATATCTGGGGAGTTGAAGCGCTGTTTCTTGAGGGCAAATTGTTGAACCCCCGCCTCAACCACCAAACCACCAATTCGAGGGAGGTTGATCAAAGAGAACCCTCTTCCTGTGTGGTTTTGTTGAAAGGCAAATCCAGAGGCAATGCGATCAGAGTTTGAGACCAGCTCACTTGGTAGCTGAACTTACATGTCCAATTGCTTTGAGTGACTCAGGGTTGCGCAGCTCGAAATTATCAAAAGTAGAAACTTGAGCATTTGGGGGGGGACCTCCCAAAGTTGGTTCTCCCTTTTGGTTTCCCTCAAAACAGTGAAGGTTAGCTCACTTGTGCAAATCGACCTTCTGACACCTTGCGACCTTTTGGTCTTCCATGTTTGGTCATGGCCCCAAAAGGTCATAACCTAAAAGGACAGTCCAGGTCGCCTTCCTTGTTATCTCTTTACATTCTGGATAGACCATGTTGATATCATATTTTGATTCAACATGATAGCCCCTTGGGGAACTGGTCATTCGCTTACGGCTCTAGCGACTCGCCATCCGTGGCGTCCGTTCAATTCTTCGGCTTTTCTTGGGTGTTTCTCACCCAGGCGAGGGGTTGGCCCAACTACGGAGCACCCTTCTATGTTCTTTTTGAAGTGCCCTTTGATTCTCAGGCGGCTTTGGGGGCCGAGAGAGCCTCAAACTACCCACAAAGAAGCTGAATCTTTAGAGTCCAGAAATTTGTTTTGGAGTAGCCCAGAGCGTCCTTAAAAAAAATCCACTTCCCCTCGATGGCTTTTTGGGGAGTGGTGAAAGTAGCAACCTGAGAAGGTGCGATACGGCCACCGAGGCCGGGTGTTGGCTAGGTCCCCCAGCTAGGTACCCTTCTCTACCAATTTTTTGGTTGGGAGGGTTTTTCTACTTAAATAGACTACATAAAAAAGAATCGGTACCCTTATTCTACCCTCTCTACTGGAGGACCTAGTTGGGGAAAGAACCGTCGTGGGCTTGCCCTGAAGGAAAACATAGGATGGACGGTTTTTCCCGGGCTCATGCCGTTTCTGATTCCCTGCCTATCGAGCCAACCAAATCCGCGAAAAAGCGGATGGGTTGTAGGGCGTCCAACTCATTCCCTGCTGAGAACTAGCCGAATCCGCGGAGAAGCGTAGTGGAACCGGAAGGCTCCGGCCTTGTTTCTTGGCGAATCCCTGAGGACGGATCTTTGGATGGCCACGGCGCCTGCGACAATGCGTCGGGCTTCTATCGCGAGGCCTTTGTGCGAGTCCCACTCCCATGGGACGCTTCCTGTCGCAGTGTCGTTGCGGTCGGCGCTTGCAAAATGGCCATCCCCCCAAAAAGGGGCCCCTGTTTCTACTCTGTAGTTTAGAGTCGACCTTTGCACCTCTTGGTGTTTTTTGGCAACCAGGTTTAGAGGTTCCGAAAGGTTCGCAAGTCCTGTGGGCAAGTGAGTCCAGCATCATTGGGCGTTTCGACTGCGACGTTTTTGGGATGGACCTTTGCCAACCCAAATCTAGACCCACCCCAACTCCAGCACTCCCGTCCAAACCATAGAACTCGGTCCAAACTGCAGCTCAAGTCGGGGTCGGAATACCCAAGCAAGTTGCTGAGACAGACCGGCAAAACACGAGAACACGACATTCACCGGCAACATACTCCATTTATGCCCTGGAGCGAATGTAGAAGCAAGAAGAACACAAAGACCTAGAAGTATCCCCAACAGCCTGGCCACCATCCCGCAACTCCGCAACTCGCCAGGAACGCTCTAAACCTAGGGGTCTGCTGGCAGGGGTGCCCCCTTTTTTCCTTTTTTCTTGGCCTCTTAAAGTCAGTTTCTTCGGAACCCCCCCCAACGAACTTCACATCTTGAACGGGGAATCCAGTGACCCCTGACACAAGACCTACACGCGACAGGTGGCTATTTGAAAGTTACGGCCACCTCACAAGCGGTTGGTGGGCATAAGTCCCCACAAGAATCATGTGCACCATGTCGGGGCCCCCATTAAAGTTCACGCCCATGTTGCCCAGCCACTAAGTCAGGTGTGATCAAGGCCTACAGTTGATCTCCTAAGTGCGCAGGGTATTTGATCTGGGCCCAGGTTCACCGTTTCTACTACGGGTCATTTCTCTTGAACCTATACAGTGGGAGGGGGCAAGCGGACCTGACTTTGAGAAGAGCAAATTGATGGGGGCAGTCCAACCCCTGCTTAATTCGTGCCCGAGTTTGCTCCAAACATTCATGGGATACTTGGACTCTATAGGGGCAGCTTCCAACCATTCTTGGGATCCTTCTTTCTGGAAAACCACGAAACACCCTGGGGAAATGGCTGGTTTTTGAGAAAGAAACAAAAACGATGGCTGACCCTATTCTAAAGGGCTTTTCGGACTGTCGCCGTCGCTCTCGTCTTTCGTCAGGTGGGTAGCCTGACGGTGCGTGGGGCGGATGCCGGTCAGATGTCGCTGGGCAGACATCGAAACCATCGGAAATTCGATTCGGGGCGCCAAAAGAAAGCCTCCCAAGAACCCTAGGTCCCCCAGTAGTGCCCTTTCTCTACCAACATTTTTGGTTGGGAGGGTTCCCCATTTCTAAAATAGACTACAGAAAAAGGGGTTCCAACTTATTCTAACCTCTCTAGTGGAGGACCAACGACCCCTTCGGGGTTGGGGCTCAACAACTCACTTCCTGAGTTGGACTTTCAGAACTTTTTTCGGGAAGACCTGGTGGGAAAACACAAGTCTGGATGTGGTTCAAACTGCCAATCCACGGTCTTGAGACAAGCCTATTCGGAGGTCAAATGAGGCCAACTGACTGGCATGAGCCGCATGCTGTTCCGCCGACAGGCCACCCTCAACGCCATGGATCAAAGCGTCGAGAAAGGGCCATTGTGAGGTTCAAGCGATCGCCCTGGGTTTGTGTCGGGGGGGATTGCCCTGGTGGTTCATGGGGGAAACCTAAAACCGAGGACATGACAAAGTCTGTATCAGGCAGATTGTATTAAGCAGTACATTATGGTGTGGTGATGAGGCGGCATGCTTGGAAATGAAAGGAAGCACCACGGGGGCGCAAGCCACACGCTAGCCGGGGCGTGCGTTTGCGTACTTTGAATCAGTGTTTTAGCGCGCTGCTGTTTTGTTTTCAACTCTTTCATAGGGCACGCGAGCGGTTGCAAATATGTATTGCCCGAACACCTTTTCACTGTGAATATTCATGTTTGTCCCAGCTGAAAGCTTCGGGTCTTTGCCCGGAGTGGTTTGGAGCAGCTTTCAGGAAGGGTTCAAGACAATTCCAGGTACGACCTGGGCTTTTCTCTGGAAGTTGGTTTTGACAGGCTCAGGGACCTAAGATGTTGTTCTGAAGGCTCAAGCTGTCCGAGGGCATGTAAGCAGAGACTTACAAGACGGCAAAAAGGTGCGCACTAGCGGGACATGTGCAGGTTTTGACATACGTTCAGTGTGTTGTTCACGCAAGATGTGTTCTAAGCTTACGTACTCGGCGTTAGGTGGCTCGCTTGGAATTTGAGAATCATTAGCGCCCAGGAATGAACAACTATACTGTGGGCCGGGGTGACTACATCCTAGTTGATAAGTGGTGTGTCCTGGTATACGTCTCATCCATCCCAGCTGCTGCAGTGTTTTGTCCATCCACAGTAGGAAAAGAGGGTAAGGCTAGGGGACCCCCAAATTTGTGGTTTTCAAGTTTTCCTGCTTGTTTCCCTTTCAAGCAACGTCAAGGATACGTCCCAAAAAGATAATGAGAGACCCATTTGAAGTGTCGTGCCTGAGGTTTCTCTGCGTGCCGGGCAACCCCTGCGACGTGGTGGTCTCGGGCGTGCTCCTATCAATGAACGACAAGGCGAGCTCGCGCTCGCCGGCTTTTGTTACGGATCGCTAGAGGCACCAAGGGGGATTGGAAGCACTTCCTCAGGCAATTGGACACGGTGTGATCGTTCCTGTGGTTTCAGCCATCCTAAGGTTTCTCGTTGATAAGGTAGGCAAATGGCTGAAACGCCATAAATTCAGCAGGGTTTGAGCGGAATCTGACCACTTACGCTATCAGAATTGGAAGAGATGCTGGACCTCAAAATGTCTTTCCGTGGGGCTTAACACAAGAGACTCCTTCCAGGACTCCGACGGCTGCCTAATGACATTGCCAAGCGATCAAATGGCGTTTTCGGTGGCCATTTGATCGCGGAGCTGGCTGGACACCCTTCAGCCCCCAATAAGAAGTAAGGGGGGGGAAAGTACGCCCAAACAAAGCTGAAGTGCCCTCCTTTTGGTTGGAAAGGTCCCATCCTGCTGGATGTCTCAAAATAGGTGGACCAAAATGGTGCCAGGGTCCTTTAGGCTTTGCCTCAAAACAACCCAACCAGGGTGCCGAGCCTCAAAGAAAGATACGGCCTGCTCGGTCTTCTGGTGATTTCCTCCTTAACCTGCAGCGGTGCAACCGGGGGCTGCACGTCTCCTGCATAGACCCCCAGACTCCGAGGCTTCTCTCGAGAGTACATGCAACGTATGCCACCTTTCTTTCCAAAACGGGTCAACTGGTCAGGAGATGTCAGATATCACTAGCTCCCTTTGGTTGCTTTAGACAGATGTTGCTATACGCAATTGTCCCTTTATTTCTAACTAGTGCTCCTGATCGACAAAATGTCCTGCACCGGGGATGGGTTTATGAATACATAGACCTACCTACCAACTAATAGGAGGTTTGTCCATCCACATAGTGGCTGCAGATTGCGCTGGGGTGCAATGGCTTCGGTTTTGGTCACCATCTTTCAACAAATGGCTTGTCAAAACCGTTTTGGATCCCATTTTGGTTGGTATGGGTGAATTCACCACCCATTTTAGAACCTATTTTAGTTGGGATTGGGATGTTCACGGGGGGTACGGACCCCCAAATTGGCTTCGGCTTTCCCTCTCGCTTCAAAACCAAACAAGGACGACCAAATGGGTATGTGTCAAACAAGACCCGGACCGGCCCCAAATCACGAAAGGGTGTTCCTTTCGCACGGTCAACCTGAGAGCCCTCAAAAAAAAGCCATCCGTGCATCCCATGGCCAAAACTACCATGGGTCATGGTTATCGAACCCCATTGCCTAAAGCCCCAGAGATTGCCTTGTGAGGATGCCTCAAAAGCGGGGTAAGAAGGGGTCGTTCAGTACATCATTCGAAAGGTACTTGGACCCTCTGGGTCTAAAATTTTTGAGGGGTTGAGAACTATTGTATAGCAACCCCAACTTGGGCCTCTCGCTTCCAGATTTTTCCAGGTGCGAATCGTGGGACCTGAGGCCGGGGACGGAGTTGCCGGAAAGCGAGTCGATTTGTCGAGCGTATCAGTGAAGTCCTAGCGCCAAGCAGCTCGGATTGCCTCGGAGGGTCCCTTGGTGCTAGGGGCGGCCATACACCTTGTTCATACCCCTGGGCTTTCCTGGTTTCCAACCCACTGTACAAGGAGGTATATACCCCTTTTGGGGAGAGGGGTATGAACATCAGCAGGCCTTTTGGGTACATTTGTCCAAGGGGTATGCAATTGGGGTATGTACCTTGGCTCCCCTGGATTGGTACCTATTGGCAGGTTTGAGGAATCTGACATTGACGAATCTCCTTGGAAACTTCTGGGCTGGAGATTGGGAACTAAACCTAGCAAGAACCAAAAATACGCGGACGTGTCTTGTTCCTTGCCAAAGGGGTTCCTTTAAAAGGAAGATGGTCCTCCAGGTTGTTTGTTCCTTGCTTGCAAAAGGGGGAAGATGGTCCTCCAGGACCCCCATGTCAGGTTCCATGTGTGAATTGGTGGCATGCGTTTTTCCGCAATTGACACCCAAGGATCGAAGCGAGCCGCGAGCGGCGTTTTGGTGGCCTTTCGGACTCAAAGGCATCTTCGTGCCGAGGCGTTGAGTGGGCCCAACTCGATGCAGCAGCGTGTCTCATACTTGGACCAAATCCATTTCGCACCACGAAATGAATCCATGGTTGACATATCATGATTTTTGTCGGTATTTACAGGGGAATCATCAGAAACCAGGGTGGTTTGGGTGGTGCAAAATTTCGTCCATCCACAGTAGGAAAAAGACACAAAAGAGAAACGCCTTTACGTTTGCAACTTGTGGTTGCCCTGGGAGAAAACGACAACAAAACAATCAAATGTGGGTTCGGCACAAAAGAAACGACACCCACATGTAACAGGCTGTCGCATTCGTAGGCCTCGAAGATTCTGTAGTTGGCCAATTGACTGTATCTTGCCCTAACTTGTATTAAGCCCTTATACCGCTTGGCAGGAGTCTTTGGTCAGAGTCAACAAGTTTCAACCTGCCTGCCTGCCATCCCTTGATCCATCCACCCACCCACCCGCCCTCCCGACCCATCCATCCACCCACCCATCCATCCATCCATCTATCCATCCATCCATCTATCCATCCATCCGTCCATCCATCCATCCGTCCATCCATTAGCATTGAACAGTGGAAACTAGTGGACACCCTCTAAACACACACCCATGACGGCTCCTTGACCAGCGACGACAACGACGACCGTTGTCATGTCATTGTCTCGCGATGGAATCAGCCGGCGGCCACAAGTTGGTCCCATTTGCCGGTGGCGATCAACGAACTCCAACGCCTCACGTAGGGAGCGTCAACACCGTCTGCGTCAGCTTCAATTCAATCAAAAGACGCCAAACCTGTGATCAAATTCTTGTCAAACTGCTCCAAAGTACGAAACGTCTTCGGAAGGATGCCAGGGGTGTGGGGGTTTGGGGGGGGGGGGGCAGAGAATCCCTCACCCCCGAAATCCGCATCCGCTGGCGCCAGGACAGCTGCTCTTTGGCGAACCCCTTGCTCATTGCCACGGAGCAAGATTTCATCGCGGCGACCGAGGCGAACGACACCTCGGCCAGGCAGATCGATCGATCACCGAAATCGAAATCAACGCAAGCCGAAGCTTCAATGGGAATCGTGTCGTGTGTTTTTTTTTTTTTTTTCTTTCTTAAGTTAACGCCTTGCTTGCCTGTTTAAGCGGATTGCGGATTGTGATTGGGCCTGTTGGGGATTTCGAACTGGCTAGCTTTCTTGTTGCTGTCTTAGTTTTTGTTTTTTGTTTCCTTGCTTGCCTGCTTGACTGCTTGCCTGCTTGCCTGCTTGCCTGCTTGCCTGCTTGCCTGCTTGCCTGCTTGCCTGCTTGCCTGCGTTTGCCTGCTTGCCTGCTTGCCTGCGTGCCTGCGTGCCTGCTTGCCTGCGTGCCTGCTTGCCTGCTTGCCTGCTTGCCTGCTTGCCTGCGTTTGCCTTGCCTGCTTGCCTGCGTTTGCCTTGCCTGCTTGCCTGCGTGCCTGCTTGCCTGCTTGCCTGCTTGCCTGCTTGCCTGCTTGCCTGCTTGCCTGCTTGCCTGCGTGCCTGCTTGCTTGCAATGTGCAGATTTGCTCGAGAAACAAGCACCATTCGTCCAAACATCCACCATTCCACTTACAACACACACAGACGCAGCTCATGTGAGTGTCTGACAATACTATTGGTAGTCAACTTGACCGGGGGTTAGTAACCCTGCTCCAAAGTGATGCAGGGGACCACCCAAGTGTCCCATCTAATCTTGGGGAAACTAGTATTTTGGTGCGGCTCGCGGGTAATGTTTAAAGAGCATTTCGTTTGAGTCAGAGGGAATATGGCCGTCCCCGATCGATTTCAGTGGTAGTATTGGATATTTCGTATCAATGGGTCATACTGGGGTAGTACCTTCACAATTGGTGGGTGGGCATGAGCTCCCATGCATGCAATCAAGCGTCTTGCCATATGAGCGCACTCAAATGTTGACCCAAGTGGGTGTCTCTCTACCCCAACCTGAAAATGGTACCCTCAAAAAATGGGCGCACACGCAGATGAGCCGCGGTCAACAAATTACGGAGGTTCCCCAAAAGAACATGGTGCAACGTGGGGTGAATTGCTCCATGTCTCTTCCAAACAAGCCGTGGACCACTGGAATTTCCATTTTGACGCAAGCTTAGGTGAGCCATGCGCGCATTTCGTTGGCATCACTCTTCGCACCAGTGGGGTGAAGTTTAGGGGGAAAACGGGGTTTGTCTCAAAATAGAGGAAGCCCCCAAAATTGGCTTCAGCTGACTTCCCTCTATAGCCAACCAAAAAAAAAGTAGCGGTACCCTCACAACAAACACCACCAGACCCACATAGAAGAAGCCCTTCCCCTCGTCCCCCCTCCCTCCCCCCCCTCCCCCCTCCTGCCCCCCACTCGCCCCCCGGCGCAGTTTCCAGCTGGGCACATTGCGGCTGCCGCGGCAACACCCCGCGGCGGTGCGGCTCTGCTACTGCGCCGGCTTCAACGCCGACGAAGAGGCGACGCGCCTGCGACGCGCGAACGCGCGACGCGGCGACGCGTGCCGAACGCTTTCGTTTGAGGCGACTGGTGCGGCTTTGAAGGTGGCTGGGTCAAAAATGGGAACCCGAAATGGAACACTGGTACATGGAACCAAGGACCAAAACCTGCGGCCATGGTGATTTGACTTTGACCCACACCCAGATTCTGGAAAATGAAGCACCTCGGAAGTCGGAAACGCAGCCTTGCTCAGGCTTGTGGTTCAGGCCATTGCCAAACTTAGCGGGGCGAAGATATGGATAGCGCAACTCCTCCATTTTAATTTCCTCGACTTCAGCTGCCCAACGAGTGGAGCCATCTACCAGCTCACCCTGGTGTAAGCTTTCCCTTAGTAACAAGTTTACTTCTTGCGGGCAAGAATTGGGGGCCAGTGTAGTTTTGAGCCTAGCTATGGCAGGGGTGCTGTCACCTATGAAACCCTGAAGAACTTAAGGATTTGTTCGGGGCTCATATAAATCCAGGCATAGCTGTTCATGAATAGCTTGTGGGGTACCCCAGTGCCCCAATAGTTGTTAATCAAGCATTCTTGCCTCTGGGTCGTACTATGAAACTATACAGATGCCGCTGTGGGTGTGCTTTGGTTTTTGAGCAATCGGGACCCACAAAACAAAGCAACAAAGACACAATACATGGTTGTGTTCCGTTTGGTTTCCCTAAAAAGCGCAAAAAAAAACCAAGGTACCCCCCGTCCAACCAGCATAGCACCAGACATGGGGTCCCTTGAAGAGGAAACCAATCTTCCAGGTACCCTCCCAAATGTCCGCTTCGGTTGACTTTCCGGCCAGCTTGAGCCAAGCTTCGTGAGCCACAAGAAGGAGATTCCTCTAAAGGGCATCTTGGGTATGCCAAGCTGCGTACCTGGACCCTCAAACTACCCAAGCAAAAAGGAATTTACGAAGCATTTTTATTGGTCCAGGTACCAAGTGGCCGGGTTTTGTGGTTCGTTACCGAAGGCAGGGGTGAAGAGAGAGAGGGTACCAAGGGACCCTTTGAAGACCAAAACGCGAGGGCGCAGCCTGCACCAACGCGAGCGACTTCACCCACAGCGCGGGGGTGGTGAACGTGCCCATTTGCCACTCGGAGAACGTCGAACCGGTTTACCCGCTGGAGTGTCTGGTTTGGGGAAGCGTTTTGCTTCAGGGAAGACAGGAGGAATTCCACCCATCTTGGTTTTTGGGATTGGTCCCAATGCTTCCAGATACTATGAGTAGGTAGCCAAGGGGGGCCATGATGTGGCCAGTGTTTTTGTTACAGCGAACCACCTCAAAAGTGGCTGGTGGACATGAATCCCCAAACTGACGTCTACCAACAAGACCAACGGCCCCTCTGAAAATTTCTTCCCGTGTAACACCCAGCGGAAAACCAGTCCTGGTTGCCTACGATGGTGGCGAGGCGCCTTTCAAAAAGCACTGAAAATGATACCGATGTGATGTCCGTCTCTGAGGTCACGAGAATCAGCCACCTCGGTGTCAGAATTTGGGCCCACCAGGCTTACCCTCTTGTGCTTGGGTTGCTTGGGTTGACCTCTAAGCACAGAGCGGCGTAGAACTGGATGAATCGACTGAAGGGACGTAGCTGGCCACCAACTCCACCTTTCCTGGTGGTTACTTGGGTAACTATTTGGGCTGTTTCTACGGATTATCAAAGTCAGGCATTTGTTCTGCAGGTTTGTACGCCTGCTTTTTGGATACAGCTTCGCGCTGATTACTGCCCTGAGTTGGTTCAGTGGTCATTTCCTCAGATCAGTTGCAGGTGCAACCGAGAATGGGGTTGTTCCTCTGAACTGAAGAAATCGATGAGCAAGCTTTCAGAGAAGCATTCTTTTTATGGCTTACTGGGCAGCTGCAAGGCCGACACCACAGAACCCCCACGAAGTCACGAAGTTGCAACCTCAACTTCGGGGCTCTTGCCCTGCTATGTCACGGTTGTTGTTGGGAAACATCCTACATATTTTACATTCTTGCTTGTTGTGGTTTAAGGGAAAATCCCCACTTAAGTGCTAAAGTTTACATTGTTGCCCCTTCCAACATCAAACAAGGCTATGTGGGCTTTGGTGTGTGTGTGTGTTTTCACGGTGAGCCAAAATGAAACCAGCAGACCCGTTGACTCGTTCTGTCTTTTTGTTTGCGAGATTTGGTTTGCCCAAGGCCCAAATCCCCCCTTTTGACTAGTCTTGCTTGTCAGTGACGGATTATTTTTCATGGAAGGTTCGGTCAACATGCTTAGTAATCCTATGGAGTCCGCCACGATCAAATCTAGATGAAGGCAGACAGGAATAATTTTGTTTCATTCTTTGGAAAGCGCTTTCTCATAAAGTATATGCATATATATATATATACACATGTGTCTATATATATATATATATTGCTGATGAGAAAGCCGTATCCGCGCATTCTCAGATGGGCCAAGCAAAACTGTTGGGAAAAAAAGAAACTGGATGGCTTCTGAAAGAACCGTGCGTGAAAAAGCCACATTCCCAAGTTGCCGGACTGCATGCTTGGGTCATCAT